AAAGAAAGAAAGAAAGAAAGAAAGAAAGAAAGAAAGAAAGAAAGAAAGAAAGAAAGAAAGAAAGAAAGAAAGAAAGAAAGAAAGAAAGAAAGAAAAGAAAAGAGTGATGCCTCCTGTAGGAAATGAAAACCCTCAATGCTTCCTCCCTAAACCGTGGTCATTTCAGCAAAACAAAAATCTGTAGAGAATGAAAGTAAAACCAGTCAGACACTGACAGTCGGGTGTTCTGTAAGTGACAAGGGAGGCAGTGAATAAAATGGTGACTCAAAGTTTCTGCTGCCTGAGTCTGTGCCTTTCAGAAGCTGATGCTCAATTATGTGTGTGGGGACTTAAAATAGTCCCACCCTGGTGAAAAGCTGATAGTATCTAACGTATTTTCAATAATATGTTGGACAGAATTTCTTGGTTGTCTTGAGACATCTTGGTAGAAGCTTTTTGTGGACAAACAGCTTTGGCAGTGGCGAGGGAAAAGTTCAGTTCCTGACATAAAAACAAGAATATTTAAGTTTTCAATGGTAACATTTTTGTGGTAAACCACACCATAGGAGCTGCTTGAAGTCTGCTTGTCACTGGTTGCAGTTCCACCTGGGTTTGAGGGGAGCACACAGCTACGTGAATATTTACAGTATTTAAGCCTTGTAAGCTTGGAAGGAGCAGGTTCTTATTACTATTTTTTATTMCTTATTATGTTATATTAGTAGTGTGGTTCTACTCTTAGCACATGGCTGAATTGAGAGACACATTTCCCTTTGTAGAGCTGCACAGCTGTAAATAAAGCTGAGTTTTGTTTGCTGGACAGGACAAATCAAACCCAAGTCCTCATTGGAGTGGCTGCACTCAGTTGACCTTTGTGGAAATGGTTGAAATTCTAATTTCCTGACATTTCTACTGTCACACAAGGTCCTCGCCACAGGCACAGCCCTTTCTCTTTTATCAGAGGTTCTCACCATCAGAAAGTGCACAAAGAAATCTCCCTCTTCTGCAGCGTATCRTTTCGAGTATCTTTTTATTAATCTTTTCACAATTGTTATTGAACTTTTCTTCTCCAGTTTGTAAACCCTCTGTACTTTAAATTGCTTTCTAGCACCGCTTTGAGTGCGTGTTTATGTAGGTTACATTATTTCAGCTTTCATCTGATTCCAGAATGTGAAAGGTTTCATTAATTTATTGATGTAAGATCATAGGAAAAATTATTGGTAAAATAATTGCAGTTTCTCTGCTAGCTGTTGCTGGTCTAAATCAGTCTTTCTATCCCCATACTCACAGTCAGAGCTTACTTTTATCTCTTCATTTTCTTCTGGAGCTGTAGGTACTTGCCTTGCCAAACCCATCCTCTTCATCTTCTGTTTWGTCAGATGTTTGTGCCTTTTTCCTGTAGATTTGCCACTCATCTTTTTGGATTTCTAAGTTACGGCCTCACTTCAGAGTGGAATGAGCAGGGAAATTAAATGTTTTTGCTGCCAGTACCACTCATTTGTCTGGGGGACTGGCCTTGTTTGGGGCTGTGAGGGAGCTCAGGAGGAGCCACCAGGACCTCACAAGTTGTGGATGGAGTGACAGATTTGGGGATAAATGTAGGTGTGAGAGAGGAGATGCAGTGTGTGTGAGCAGGGAGGGAGCACTGAATTGACATGGCTGCTGAAAACAGCAAAATTCTAAATATTTGCATCATAAACTGGGWGTCTGTGCTCCCATGGGTAAAATTGTGTGCTGATTTTTACTGTATTATGAAAAAGCGAATGAAAAGTGTTGTTTGKGAATTATTTTGGTCTTCCTTACCTCTGAACTCTCCCAAATTTGGCTTTCTATTCCAAGATTCCCATTTTTCCCCTTCTCCAGCAGCAAGTACAAGTGTTTGATTTTGTTTTATTCTTCCCCATTAATGCATTAAGTTGTTCATATTCTGCACTCACCAGTGCTGTAACAAAAGTGTTAAATGATTTGTTGTGATGGACAGATTGGCTGCGAATCTCTAAATTTGTGCAGTAGTGCTGAGATTGTGGGGCAGAGTGCTGAGTGCCCTGGGTGTGAGCGTGGCATTCACCAAAAGGGTGGAATTACTGAGCACTGTTTGTGTTTTCCTGCAGCCTTTCATGTCCCCTCGCTACCCTGGAGGCCCAAGGCCACCTCTGAGAATACCCAACCAGGTAAGGACTGACCACTGACCCTCAGGTGACCCAGGGGACAGCTCCCTGTGTCCCTCAGCTCTGTGTCCCTGTCCCCTCTGTGGGACACACACATTGCCTTTATCGCACAGCACATCTGGGGATCACCAGTGACAAACATAAAATGCTCCATGGCTCCTGCAGACACTCTGAGGATTTGATAAAAGCCTTGAATTCCCAATTTTGTCTCGTCTCCGTCAAAGGATGTGCAATGCCAGCGAGACAGGGATGAGTAATGAGCTGCTGCTCGTCAGCAGGGACCTTTTGTGGCCCATCTGTGAGGAGAGGGTTCTGAAAGTAGAGAACATTTGTGGTTTTCAGCTCTCCATAGTGCAGATAGRGGAGGAGAAAGAGTCGTCAGCAGATGAAAAGTTAGAGACAAGCAGACAGAAAAGCATCAGTGGAGCTCTGAGGGGAAAACTGGGTCATTTACAGCATTGGGAAAGGCTGAAAAGGAGGGATAGAATAGGTGGTGTGGTCCATCTTTGGCTTCCAGAACTGCCTTTCCATTGTCACATTCTACCCCAGCCTTGTTTCTGGCTATTTTATATAACTGTGTAACACAATTCCAACAAATTTGTGTCCACTTTTGGCACGGTATGGCCAGGAGATGTGAAATCCAAATTTCAGTGAGGGGGYTGGAGTGCTCTGGGTGCTGCTCTCCCTGCTGATGTTTGGGGTCAGGTTGAGTTACCCTGTGCCAGAGCTGCTTTTTTTTCCCAGGCCAGAGGGTGATTTAATTAACCTTGATTAATTGAAGGTCTGTGCAGTGCCATAACTACTGTGCTTAACATTTGCTAACATTTCACTGCTGTCACCCAGTGCATTCCTGGTTTTTGCAGCTCTCAACACAAACCCAGCCAGAGGGGTTTGAACCCCTGAGCTCAGTGTTTGGGTTTTTCCCACTCTCTGTGCCTGAGCACAGTGGATCCTGGCAGATGTGGGCTGCAGGTTTGGTGTCAGGAGTGTTTTTGTCTGCTCACTGTGGTATTTTCACTGGGAGACAATCACATCATCCCAGGGAAACTGCAGCTCTTATGCCACGCTCAGGAAGTGCTGTTTCTTTTTCGTTTTTTGGTTTTTTGGAGCACTCATGACTCAAGTTACACCATGGAAGGGCAATAAACGATTGTGGTGCAGTTTTAAAAGCCCAAATTTTGATTTGTGATARTTTGGTCCTGGGACAGTGGAGGGTATCCCTGCCCCTGACAGAGGAGTTGGAACAAGAGGGGCTTCGAGGTCTCTCCCCACCCAAACCATTCTGAGATTCTGTGGTTTACTCATTCACAATACATTTTTACTGAAAGCGTGGCAGTGCTTTGAAATGCTAATTGCACCTTGTGGATCAGCTACAAAGATCCATTCACGAACACGTTTCTCTACTTGACCCAGCTACAGGTAAAATCCCGTAAAAATGAGCTTAAAGCCTGATTCAGTAAACCCAGAGGGCAGATTAATGTGGGGATTTAAAAGCACGTTAACTCTTGGCTGAGAGGAAACATCCAGGAATTAGGAATGAAATATGTGTGTTGTGTTTTTATTGTAAATTTGAAGGYATTCTGTGCACTGATGCTGTGTTTTCCATGCCTCAGGCCCTCGGAGGTGTCCCGGGGAGTCAGCCCCTCCTGCCCAGCGGGATGGACCCCACACGGCAGCAGGGTGAGTGCAGGACCCCTCTCCACAATTTAAGGACTTTCCACAGTCCTTTAAGCTTTTCTTTTAATTAGCAAGTCACGATTCATTAAAAGTATCTGCAGAAGGTGCTCGAGTGTTGCGCATTGAAATGAATTGCGTATTGCACAATCAGTAATGTATTTTGCATTTTATTTGCAGGTCATCCAAACATGGGTGGGCCGATGCAGAGGATGACTCCTCCSAGGGGAATGGTGCCATTAGGACCACAGGTATTTTCCAGAAATGGGTTATTCTTATTTGCAGGCCTCTACTTACACTGCATTCTCTGTCTTTGCACAGCTTGAAGATGCCCAGGACTTGTTTTCATAATTAGAACAAACATCCAATTTTACAAAAAAATTAGTTCTGAGTTGCAGCTGTACAAAATCTAAATGAAAAATCTGTCATTGTCATTAATATTTAGAGTTTAAAAAGGAAGCCCTTCAGCTGCTCTCTTTAGGAAAGAGACTAAAAGCCAAAGACTGCCATGGGCAAGGGAGACCAAGAGTGGAGAAGGTGCTTCCTCCTCCTCCTCTTCCTCTTCTTATTTGAATAACAACATTCTAAATGAAGGTATAGCCTTGCCTTTCAAATCTGTTCACAACTGTCTCTACAATTTTGGGTCTTCTTGCTAGAAACCAGTTGTGCAGTTCTTCACAACGTCTGCTGTGTGACCAACAAAACATTATTAAGTACATTTGCTGGTTTTGTCTGTAGCCCTGAAATGCGTTTACCATTTTTGGAGGTAGAAAGAGGAGCTCTGCTGTGCTGCCATATGAGGTTGAGCTGATCCTTTATGCAGCACTATTAGTCACACAGCAGGCAGATCTCATGCCAGTTCTTATGAAGACCATTTTTCCATTTTTTTATATAATTTTAAATCCAGTGTTTTTGTAAGTTTCGTCTTTCTTGTGCTCAACGTCCTAACCTACACAACATTTTAAGTCCACAAAATTTAAATTCAGAAATGACTTTGTAATTGAATTACCATCTGCCTGGGCACCCAAGCTCTGCAGAGAGACCCCTACTCTGAAAGAACATCCCTATTGCTGGTCCTAATGGCAGTCCTGTTATTTTGGGCCAAAGCAGTACATTTAGAATTATCAGTAATTACAGCTGAAGTTAGATTGTGAAGTGAGACAGATGGTTTTGCTTGTATTCCACTAAATAAAACCAGGTAAAATTGATTTTTTTTGTGTAAGTAATGCAGTGAGACTTTGGTTATTTACAATATCAGGGCATAAACTCAGATGTTATGGGCGTTGGGGAATTAATTTGTTACCATTGCTATGACATTAATTACGATATTAAATACTGTTCACTGTGGTTATTACAGACCTGGGATAGTGGATGGTGTCCTGTCCCAGGATGGGGGGTGGCTTTAAGGTCCCATGCTGGGATTTTGTGATTTATTAGAAGTGAAAAATGGAAAGAGAAATGTAATGGTACATTGGATAAGTTATATAAGTGTGGTTTCATGTTTTTAATGTTTTACAAATGTAACAAAATCTAATTAATAATCGTACAGTTTGATATCTCAGGATCTTAGTCCAGGTTTCCAATTTTGAATTGCCTTAATTTAAAAGTCGAGTATTAAAAAGTTTAGTTCTAAAACCTGACCTTTGCTGGCCATTAACTTGGGCTCAAAACGTGTAAATAACTCCTCCTGAAATAATTTTAACCATTGTTAGCCACCTTCTGTTGTTAGTAGTTGTTTCTCCCTGGGGTTAACGATCCCATTTTTTTAAGTGATCAGAGAGGGAATCCTGAGAGCATGAATGGCATGGCCTGTCCTGCAGCAGTTGCACAGGGATGTCATTAACCTGCTGTCCTTTCTTTCCCCCTCCTCTTTGGTTTTGTTTTTTTGTTTTGTGGTAGTCTGACCCTTGGTTGTCGTTGCAGAACTATGGAGGTGCCATGAGACCCCCTCTGAACGCTTTAGGTGGCCCGGGGATGCCTGGGATGAACATGTAAGCACMACACAAATCCTATTGCACTTAGAAAATGCCTTTATTTCATTGTATCAGTAACGGTTGGGATGGAAAAGGCAAGGAGAGCATGCTTTGGTGACCAATAAATGCAATTTTAAGAAGTGAACTCACGGTCTCTTACAGGAGCCTTCACTCAGTTTCTTTCACAGATCAAACTTCAAATACTGGGGATATTATTTTGTCAATAKAAGCACTGATCTATCCTTGTATGCMTTTAAAAAAATGACACTACTTACTAAATACCTTGTGAAGAAGGGCTCTTCTCTGCAAAATAAATCAGTATTTAATTGTAGGAAAATAATCTTTGTCTACAACTGTTTATAAGAAAGACACATTTGATTCGAAAGTTTTCATCAAGTGCAGTTTTTATTTCCTTAACTGAATTTATTTCTAGTCCAAACAGATAGAAGAGCTTTACAGATATGAGAGTGTTTTTGTCAGTGTTTCTGTGTATTTGTGGGTCTGGATTATCATCAGTTTGAGTTSAGATTTATTCCACAGATGGAATTTGCCATGGCAGCACATGCTGTGCCCTGTGTCCCTGAGGACAACCCCCTTTTTGAGTGTGCAGAAATACTTCAGATGTAACATTAAGAGTACACAGTAAAGATTTCTGTATGCTTTTCTCATTATATCATAGATCCCCATGTTTGGTCTGGTTTTTATAGAAAACATAAATAAGAAATTATAATTTTTGTTACAAGTAAAAGGTTACCGCCCTGGAAAAAGTCAAAGAGGTACAGAAATAGATAATGTAGTTTAAAAAATCCACCATACCTGTAATTTATTTGGATTTCCAGACATGCATTGAATTCTTGAGGCAAGTAAATGAAAATCTGAAGTTTTGTGTTGCTCTGTCATAGACATACATACATGGGGTTYAACACAGTTCTAGGAGCTTTCCTGAGGGTAGGCATTTATGTTTTTAAATTAAATTGGTGTGGAAAAAATATTTAGACATTTGAATTTCRTGTGAGTCAAGGATAAGCACTGTAGTGTCTTTTTTCAGTAGAAGATTGATTTCTGAAAAAAAGGAAATTACCTGTCCAGAAGTAAAACTGAGGTTTTTTATCCACGTAAATAAGAATTTGTACAGGAAAAATAAGAAGAGAGTTTCCTGAATGACAAAAAGACTTCCTGGCCTGCCAGAAAGAGAAAAGGTGGATTGAAATACTAATATTGCAGCTTTTTATAAACATGTTTTATCAAAGGGAACAGCTCTGTGCTCATTGGGGSAAATCACATTTCTGGGAAACACCCTAACTGTGCTTGAGGATGGCTTTACACACCCGAGGGTTTTCTTCACATGACAATTTCTCAGTGTTCTGTTCTTTTTTTCCTTGGGTTTTTGGCCATGCTAAATACAGAAATGAGCGTTCTACAGAAACAGCTGCCGTTTAAATCCAGCTTTGCCTCCTTGGGAGGTGCGAAAGGAAGCTGCTTTGGTTAAGAGCAGACTATCTGCCAAATAAAATTTTACCATTTTTCTGGGTGAGAAAGTGTTCTTTGTGGTCAAAAACGGCAGCCTGGGGGCTCATAAGGCAGCATTTCAGTCCATATGATYCACAAATAGAGCACTGCTGGGTAATTTCTTGCTTTGTCATCAGTAATTCCCATCAGATTTCTGTTGGGCACAGCTGATGCACAGCCCATGTTCTTCCGCAGAATAACTTCATTTTAGCTCTAAGTTTCTCAGCTGAAACTTGACGGAGCCATTTTTAGGAAGATTTCAYGTCTGTGCCAGTTTCTGGAACAAAAAGGCAGATTTCAGGGAGCAGTGTTACATTTCACTGGTGATTTTTAACACCCCGTGTGACCCTGCAGTGCTGTCTCAAGCACTAAGAATATCTCAGTCATGCCTCAGAATTTAAAGAAAAAATGGTGTGATTTTGTCTTTTGACTTCAATTCACAAACTTGTGTCTAGATGTTTAATTTCCTGATGGAATATATTTGCCTCTTGGGGAACTGAAATTCCAGACTTTTGCATTTTTCAAGCCAGGTTTGACACTAACACAATTATCTTAAAAAAATGCAGCTGAAATTGGTCATAGCAACAGATACTTCATGAATTATTTTGGAATTGGTACTTGTATGAGGATGTTTTATGACCCTGTAAACATTTAGTAAAAGACAAAACACCTGCTTGCATTGAATTGAAACAAAAAAAAATGCAGTTTGGGTGTTTTTATATGGGTTTTATAAGCATTTGGCTCCACAAAATCCGTGTGGCTTTCGAGCAGAAGCTGCTGCAGTGATTTGTAAGTCTATACTGAAAGCTGTCCAAAAAAATTGAAAATTCCAACAGTTTTTAGATGAAAGGTGAGTTYCCTGGTCTCTGTGTAAATTTTTGAGTTTCCATATTCCTGTGGCTTAACTCTGTCATGTCTCTGAGTTAGTAAACATCACAGAAATGAGTGCAAGGGTTTGGGATGAAATCAGACTTTTAAGTGTTCCTGRTTTTTTTTTTTCATTATTATTTTTTTGTATTTTTTTTTTTGTTTAAATGTTCCAGATTTTCCTGAAAAAGGGGATCCAATAAACCAATTAAAAATAAGGAAATGAACAATAGGGGGAAAAAAACCCAACAGTTAATATTTCACCATGGGAATTGCTGAATATTTGACCTGAGGAGCATTTCCTCACTCAGTCTTTCATTGAAKGAGGCAGAAAAGTCCATACCACTATTCCCGATTTCCAGCATTCCAGCAATAATGGCAGTGGAAATAAATCAATTTTCAGTTAATTTTTTTTTTGAGACAGTTCCTTTGTATTTTCATCAACAACATAATAAAAAGAAAAAAAAAATCATTATTGAATCCCTCAGGCAACACATGCACTTAATAGTTGTTATTGCAGCAAGACTTAGAAAACTTTCAGAACTCATTAAAAAAAAGGATTTTTTTTCTCTCTGTTTAAGTCACTCTCCCATGCCTGGTGAGCTGCAGTGGTTAATGTTGCTTTTCTACAGCTAATGAGGCCAAAATGCCATTTTAAATGTGACAGTTTTGTCATCTGCTCTGCCTCTCCAATGTCAGGGCTTTCAAAAAGTGATTCAGTCTTGTTTATAAACAACGAGGAGCTTCAGTGCTCCCAGAAAGAACTCTGTGTTTGAGACATTGTGACTCTGAGCATGGAGATTTCTGCCTTCCCTCTGGATTGTGAGGAGGTGAAGCCTCACCCCCAAACTATTTTTCTGTGCTTAGTGAGAGTGAGAAACCATCTGAGAGTTTTCTGGTTTTAATACATGAAATTTATGATCATGGCTGTTGTTGTTATCATCATCATCATCATCATCATGGTCACCATCTTGGTCACCATGCTGGGGTTACAGCAATGTATTTTGTATGGCTTGTTCTTTCATAAATTAATTAGGTGTTCCCAAACATTTATTAGCTAATTGCAAGGTTTTACTAATGGAACTTGACCATACTGCAGTATTTTAGATCACCAATAAATGCACACGCCCTCAGTACTTCAGGCATCTGCTTTGTTATGTGAACAAGGTTACTGTGGTTTTATGACTGAAAATTTATTTATTTTAAGACTTAAATGTACTTTTTGAGTAGTAWATAAATTAATAATCTCACCAAATGATGAAATGGCAGCACAATGAGAATTCTGCACTAGCATTTTAACTTGGTGTCGTTATGGTTTGTAAACTGACTTTAGCTTGAAAAAAGCCACTTCTTCCTTCCTCTGCAAACAGGTCATTTAGATTTTTTTCCCTCAGGGCTGGTCAGAGGTTGGGGAAKGTTCTGTGTCTCATCATTCATCTTCTGTTTCAGGGGTCCTGGGGGTGGGAGACCTTGGCCAAACCCAACCAATGCCAATTCTGTAAGTAAATATTATGAATATATTTGACTTYTTCTTGCATTTAGGGAGGTATCTTCAACATCAGGCCCAGCACTGCCATGACACAAAGGTTGTCCTGGGATCCCACAAGAGCAGCAGTGTCTGGTATTTCCCCAGAAGGTGGAAAATTTTCGTTTTCATTCAGTGATCATACATCATCAGTTTAAAAATGTCTATTTTTGGCACTTGCAGTTGGGTAAGGTGGGTCCAGCTTTTTCTGTGAAACAGGTCTTTCAGTTTTCTCATTTTTGGTTTTTCMGTTCTAGTAGCGAAACTCTTCTTCAGTTTTCTTTTGTATGTACTTRATTAATATGGATATTTTTTTAACTGATTTTTAAAGTATTTCCAGTCTCTGAAATTAATTGGCATGCCCAATAATAGATTTATTTTTAACAATCGTTTGACTGACAAGTTGTCTGTAGACAAATTCGTATTTGTCAGAACAATTGCTCCTCCCACAGCRCCACTGTCCCGTGTTCCATTGGAGKCARTGATTGCAAAGGCTGCAACAGAGAAGGAAAGCAGATTAAAAAAAAACAAAGTGCATATAAATACAGTATCTCCTAAAAGAAAAGATAAAAGGTGGAAGATGTGATAGCTTCTTTTTCTTTTATGGTCAACATTTTAATCAACATTAGCTATCTGTAAGAACATACAAATTCAGTTCATGCTTGGATAATTCTGACCTGACTGAAATTCTAGGGTGTCCTGCTTGACTGCACAAACCTTTTAAACTGCATTGCCCTAATAATGTTATACCTTATTTTAATAGTTTGATATTTTTACATTACTGAAAAGAGGTGTTTATTTTGACAACGGAGGCATTTTCCCCCATGATTTTAACCACATCTTTTAGTTATTCTAATTAAATGAGCACTGACCTGCAGCTGCCTGGTCTCCATCCCAGTGCAGAGGAAATCACTGTTTTTTCTGTTGGTGTTTCAGATACCTTATTCCTCAGCATCTCCTGGGAACTACGTGGTGAGTCCCTGTGTGTGTTTGAAGTGTGTGTCACAGCAATTCTGGGAGCTGCAGGAACACCAGAGCTGCCCTGGGGTGCTGGGTGTGGGTGCTCTGAGCACAATCATCACCAAAAAATACCAAAAAATACCCTCAGTGCTGCTTCACTGCAGAAAACATTCATAGCTAACACAATCTATTGTCTTCCAAAACACTCATGGGTTTCTCAGTAAAAATGGTTGTGTGAGAGTGTCTGAACTCCTGCAGGAAAGAAGTGTTTATATGCAGTGCTGGGTTGAGTCTCTGTCAGCAGAGATTAACTTTGTTTATTATTTTAGACTCATTATTGTTGCTGTTGCTGTTGTACTCAAGATTGTTTGTGTGTCTGAGGAACTCCTCTAAGGCAGATTGTTTAGTCTGTTTTTGTCTTGGATGTGCACCGGGACTGGTGTCACAGGGTGAGGACAGAGGATTATATACTTAAAAGTGATTTATTTTGTCCTTTATTTAGACAATTACCTGTGGAAAACATTATGAYTCCTACACGTGTCTGCAACTCACCCTCATTTAGTCACAGGTTTAGTGGAAACAGCCCAGATTTGCGATCTCCAAATCAGTTCTTTCAATGCAGATCTTCACAAAATTCTCTCTGTTCGGGAGATGTTTTGTGGTTTTGCCATATTCCATTAYTTCACAATTTAAAGGCATTTTGATAATATTTGCCTTGATAAACAACAAATATTTGAGGATGAGGGATGGGCTGGAGAGCTCCTCAAGAAGATTTTAGAGAAAGGATTTGTAATCTGGGACTACTCACTTTGAGAACTTAAGATTCATGTAAGATTAATGTGTGTATAATTTATTAATATTTGCAATCATATAAGCACATCTATAAAATAAGTATATATAATATATATAACTATGCTATATAACTATGCAAATATATGTATACATATATATATGAACAATAATAAAATATTACGACCTCTGAGTGAATGTGGTTCATACCAACAGGCTCTCTAAAAGAAGGAAATACACAAACAATGAGATGCAAATGTTAATGAAAACAAGCAACTTTTCTCATAAATGATCAGTTGTACCCACATCTCTCCATGACATGTTTTAGAATATGCCAAGAGAGTGCTTAAAAGAAATTAAGTTAGTGAGGTTAGTACACAGGTATATGAATAAAAAGTATGTGGAGAGCCTTGATGCATATGGATATGGATAAAATGTGGATATGTATTTATGGATAAAAGTATATGGGTAAAAAGTACATGGATAAATAACCTGTAAGCCAACAGGAACAACCAAACCCTTACAAATGCTAACACTGAAGAGATATCCCTGTCTGAAACAGAGTATCTGCTGTTTTAAATGATAACAGAAGAGATAAAGATACAGTAATAGCCATGTGGCAGTGAAAATAATAAATATTACTATCAGGTTGTGTATGTGTTACTTTGGAAATCAGTATTTRCTGACTTTAATGGATGTAGGCATTTTTACCTAAATGGAAGTTGGTGGCTTTTCATGTTACCTAAAGAATTTAGTGGTTCTGCAAACATAGGAAGCAAGATGTTGTGTTTYTGTTCTTACTAAATGATTCGGCTGTTTAGAACACAATTCCTGGAAAATTCTTCAAGAACCATAAAACTGTTTTTTGACAAACAGAGCATTTTCTTAGTGTTTCTTAGTCCTGATCAGATTCATGACATGGAAATACCCAAAACTTAGAGCAATAAATGTTCCTTGATGGAAGTTTTTTTGGTGTGTGTGTTTTAGGTGTTTCCTAACCTTTTATTTCATAGTAATTGACAATTTTACTCTCTTCAGGGTCCTCCAGGAGGTGGAGGTCCACCAGGAACACCCATCATGCCTAGTCCWGCAGGTAGGGAAGTATACTTGGAAATAACAAAATTATAAGGGATTTTAGGAAGGACACAAATTATTTTTTAATAAAGACATAGTGATAAATTATTTGGTCTGTATTTCTTTATCAGAGTTTTTTTTTTTTCTTTTTTTGCTGTCCACTGCAGCACAGGAGGGTAGGGAGGTTTCCTAATAAGCTATAAAAACTTACTGCACCAGTATAATAAYTTTATCAATACAGTTACTAGGAATTAAGTAAATAAAAATAAAAATTGAAAACAAAACAAAGTGAAATAAAATAAAAACCGTTAAAAAAAACCAACCACATGAAAAAAGGCAACCTGAGGTRAAGATATTTTGAAGTTCTGTTTTCCAAAGCATGAAAACACTTGGAAATTGGCCACCTATGAGTTTTGCCAAGGTATTTACCCACCTGTGTGATCAACAGTTCAAGGATTCCCAGAGCCCAGCCATGCCCTGTGCCAGCAGAACGTGAGGAGAGCCAGGGATGAGTGCTGCTGAAGGATGTGGTGGATAAAGAATATTAAAGATAACTTTTATGTGCTGGTTTTACTGTAGGCTGAAAGCTCTGCCATTGCCCCCTTTTCCTCAGGCAGCATATTTCAGTGTTGCAGTGATACGTAGTGTTCTGTGCACAGTGGAATTATTTGCTGGGATTAATGCTTAAAAAGTCCTGTTGGAAAGATTAATTGGTAGACAGAGATAAAGATACAAAAAGATAAAGATATATAAACCTTGGTTTATCTTTGTGTTGTCCATACAGGTGCCCTGGGTGTGGAATGGGCGTGGGCACACACTGCTGAGCTCTTTYTATTCTCTGTGCAGACACTGATTTCCTAGAGCTGCCAGTGGGTTTTTAAGTCATGCTATCCCCTTAGGGATGCATATAGACTTTTGTCAGGTTATTCTCCTTTCAKTTTTTGACATTTTTAGGGGTTTTTTTGGAAGCATTGCACCGGGCTGTACCATGATGCATCATCTAAAGCCTCCCTCAGGAATGAGGGATCTTTGCACAGTGTTCCACTCAAGGGTAGCATATGTTCAAAATCACATGGACTCRACAGGGATGAGAGTGAAAAACTTTTAACTCTCAGTCTGTGTAAGGAGAAGCTTTTTATCATTTATTACAGATGGGACAACAATTACAGGAAGATAAGAAACAAACTCCTGTTGTGTGGAGCATATTGAAGATGAGTGGAGAAATTTAGAARTCTGAGAAGCAGGGTTTATGGAATTAAATAGTTACAGATACTTGGTGATTTATAAACCTTTTAACAGCCATGCATAAAACTGGAGCCCAGAAGGAGTCACCTGGGGACCATGGCAATTATTTCTCTTCATGGCCCTCTTGTATGGCAGCAATGGATAGAAAGGGAATAAAATCTTGCATTATATTGCCACTGTGTGTGGAACCCAGGCACAGTAACAATAKGAACAAAATGACAGGAAATGTACGAGGTGAGTAATTTTATTGRAAAGTGTATTTTAGCGCTTAAAATAATCTCTTTATTACAGATTCAACCAACTCTGGAGACAACATGTACACTTTAATGAACGCTGTGCCACCTGGGCCCAACAGACCTAATGTAAATATGAATCTGCTTATATCTTCCTTTGAATTGTTCAGCCTTTTGTTTATCCAAACACTGCRTTTCCATCAGCTATCATTATTGCTAAGCTTTCCATTTTTATGGATGGCTCTTCAGTTATGGGCCTTTGGRGAAAAAAAACACCAGCAGAACTTAAAAATAAATATATATAGATATGCTAAATCAGTGTGCAGTAAACTGCAGATTGTTCTGCCATGATGCTAATRTCTTTTAAATGTGTGAAGGGCTAAATTTAAGGTTAATTACTGGAATTGTGCAGAAGCTGTTCAARTTGTGAAGGTAGCGGGGAGTTTTCTGACTCGGTGTAGGTCGGGTAGGGTTTGAAAGTTGTTAATTAATCACTAATGGATTTAAGAGACTTATGAAAGCTCCCTATAACTTCAGTGGGGGTAGGCTGTGTTGCCAGCAGAAGTTTGGAAAGTCAAACAAAGCATACTGAAGTAAATAATAAATAAATACTATGTTGGATTTAGCCTACAGAGGCTACAGTCTCCAAAAATCACGAAAATGACCAAAAACAATGGTGTTTTTCAGTCTTCGCACAAGGGACGTTCTCTTAAATGGAACTTCAGAATCTTTTCATTCAGAGCTGAGGATTTTTCCTTCCTTTTGTTTTTTTTTTCCTCTGAGGAGTATTTTGTCTTTATTAGGTTGTATAAAACATGACTGTACAGTTTTTAATGCCTGCTCCTTTTGCAGTTTCCACTGGGACCAGGCTCAGACGGACCCATGAGCGGGCTGGGTGGAATGGATTCACATCACATGAATGGATCGTTAGGTAACGTGGTAAACACTGCCAAAATGGTGMATTTTTGGTGACAGTGCTGTTTTCTGTGACTGATTCTTGGAGGTCTGAAGACCACAGTATGTAAAAATATATGAAAAAGATTGTACATATTTCAGTGAGAAGAAGGGACTGATTTGAGGGGGCTCATTCTGTGGCAAGAATGAAAAATAAGTTGTTGAAGCTCACCGAGCAGATTTGTGAGCAATGGATGTTCAGCACAGGCATCTCTCCCCTAAACAGAATTACTTTTTCTTTTAGGAAAGCATGTCCCTGAAATTTTAGATTACTTTATATAAGGACACTTTTACAGCCGTTATCTATTACAATCCTAAAAAAGGGTATTTACTTTAACTAATGATGATGCACATTGCATTCAAATGAATGAAAATCTTTGTGGGAGGCAGCCACACCTTTTTCTGTCACTKTCTACAGCCTRAGAATTCTTTCTCCTTAGCTAAAATGAAAAGTTAAATTGAGACAGTTACAGAACGATTGTACATGTACCTAGCATGTAATTTATCCTTTTGGGCCATGACAAAATAACCCTCAATAACATCAAAGTATCTGATGTTTTTAGAGAGAGAACTTACATTCCTTTTCAGCCCTAATTTGCCTGGTTGTATGCAATAGCTATTTCAGTCTCCTCCCACAGCTCTATTTTTTATTGTTTTGCTGTGATACTCTTCTAGTTTTATACTCAATACTCTTCCAGGATTTCTCTTTCCTGAAAACATGTGCTTTTGCTGCTAAAAAAAATGCTTTTCTTGGTTCATCCATCATACATTGTATTTTCTTATTAYTGGCTTTACCTGAGAGCTACGGCATGTGAAAAAAAACCCAATTAGTTTTCAATAGTCTTGCACTCACTACATTTAATTTTATTTGGTTTCTGTTACTCTGMTCATCAGGATCATCTGGTTTCTTCTAAGAGATTCTCAGTACAAGTATTGCAGCAAAAGCTGATGAAATCCCAGATTGATTGAATAGATTATTTTGTACCTACTGTAGACTTCTGCTGAGTAGTTTAAGTTTTAAAATGTTAATGTTGCACTACATATTTTCCATGAAAAAGTTATTGGATTAGCTTCAGCTCAAAACTAACTGAATAATTGTTTGTTTTAATTTAAGGCTCAGGAGACATGGACAGTATTTCCAAAGTGAGTATCTAATCAAAGATTTGGAGATTTTTGAATGTTTCACTCGTAACTTATTTCCTTTGTGTTCGTGATGAATCTTTTTGTTATGCACCTTTCTTATATATTACATATATATTATATATATTATATATATATTATGTATAATTGCTTCCAGTTCATAGTCTGATTCATCATGGTGTAGTCTTTGATACTGTTAAAATAAATGAAACCAGTCCTAATAATCAGTTTTATTAATGTAAATTTGGGACAATCTCCTTTGGGTGTTGCAGGATTGGGTTTGTCACCTCTGTAAGGTAATGTTATTATCTTAATCCTCAGGAAAAATTCCCAAAAGCTTGATTAAGAAGTAGTTTCAGAAGAAGCACTGTTTTGATATCCCAACCATTAAATAGTTGGAAATGGAAGTGAGTTTAATCTGCAGGGACTTTAATGTGTCCTGTCTGTAAAAATAAAACTGCTACAGACATGATTATCATTAACTTGAAAATTAATTACCCGATGTGGTATTGGCAGAGGGGCATAAATAAAGAGGACCTTGTGTTCTCAAGTTTTATAACATTTTCAGACTGTGCACAAAGGGAAACAATGGGTGGAGAAGACCACATTGTCTCAGTTGTGCTGTGCAGTGATGGGTTCAATAAACCTTCCATGAGATCACCAGTATACAGCACTTTTTAAATCAAAGTCCGTGTCTTTCCTTCAGTGTGTTATTGCAAACAGCAGCATTTTTCAGGATTAAAAAAAAMCCCAAAACTTTTTCATCTCTGTGGGATAATTTTTAAAGCCAGTATTCCACTCTAGTACAGGTATCAGCAGCTCTAAAAACTTGGGTCCAAAACAATTTACCTGGAAGTCTTGTTACACGTTAACCTGCCTGAATAACTCATGGCAATCACTTTGGATCTATGTGTTTTTTAAATGACTAAAAGAAAAATTTTGTTAATTTTGCCTGTAACACATTTGTCCATAGGACATAGGTCCAATGTTGGCAGAATCAGTACAGCTCACAGAATTCGTAGCTTTTTAGAGGAGATTTTTATTAAATTGGCAGAATGGCAGAACATAAAGTTTTTATGAAGTAGATTGAGATGAGGGCAGTAAATGAACCAAAATTGCATATATTAAATAAACATTATTAAGTAGCATTTATTGCAATGYCCATGGAATTTGTACAGGCTTCAGGGGTACTTTTGCATTGGAAAATCCCAAAGAGCTACAATGCCAGACCCCAAGTGGCCACAAAAACACACCAGGGAGTCACTGAGATGGGATTTTTCCAGGAGATTGACCCTTTGGGGCTGGCGTGCTGTAACAATGGCAGAATGTCAAAGCTTAGCCCTACACAGAGCGAGATAAAATAGAGGRAAATCCCCCAGGAACGAGAAAAAGTGCAGAATAAATGTGACARGGTGTTTATATTTGTGGATTTCAAGGCCAGAGGGAGCGATGTGGTTGTGCAGCCTGAGCTCCTGTGTCACACGGGCAGCCCCGCATTAATGAATGGCTGCAGAAGGTGCAGCAGCAGTGCTGAGCCAAGGCAGAGCTCAGCTCCCTGTGTGGCTGCTGTCCTGTTTTCCCTGCACAGCACCCCTGACTGACCAGGGTCAGTGACCCGTGTCGGGCTCTGGRTCATCTCTGCTGGACCAGTGCTGGTCCTGGGGGTCGCAGTTTGGGAAGCAGTGAATTAGACTGAGGAAAGCACAAGGGCTAAGGCAAGGCTTTTCACCCAACTCTGAGCTGCTAAACAAGTTCTGCTTGCATGTCATGTATGTAATTAGTTTAGTGCTTATATTTGTACTGCATTCTGTTTTTCTGGGTTAAAAAAAAATGTCAAGGGACAACTGTGATGAAAGCATTTCATTATGAGATTCATAGTTTCATTTCTCCCTTTCCCTGGCCGCTCTTTTTCCATCATGAGTCCTTCAAGGGGCTGTAACAGCGATTTACAGTGATTTAAAATTTTAAAATTTTAAAATATGGAAAGAGGGTTGCCCATGGTCCAGGCATGGCAAGGGGCTGCCAGCCAGCTTGGTGAGAGCCACTGACTAAYAGCAGTGTGCACAGTGAGCTGTCCACAAGGCAGAACAATTTCTGTGGCAATTTTTTTGATTCACCCCTTCTCCTTCTGAAGTTGCAGAGGTGGCTGTGCACTTCTGTAAGAAAAGACTAACAAATAATTTTTGGAAGGTTTTAGGTTGTTACTCTTTCAGTAAATTGCAACCACAATGAGCAAACCTCAGGCACAGGCCTTTGGAAAGGTTTGTGCAGGCCAAATCCATCCTGTCTTTAAGGACATTTTTGTGTGTCTCTGAGTACRAACTCATAGCTCACGTGTGTCAGGGCTCACAGACGTGGCTGCGTTCAACCACGTGATTAATGTGGTGACAGAGCTTCTTCACAACCCTGCTGCAGCTTTTACAGCTTTTCTTGACCTCAGCACAGGTAAATAATCCTTGCTTCAGGCAAGAGAACATTACTTAACAGTCTAAAATTACTGGCTGAATCATGCAGAGCCCTGCTGGGGCTGATCTTTACATCCTTGAGAACCCCAGTGCACTGCACAGTGCATCTGAGTGCACCAAGCATTGTGTGGAGCATGCCCTGGGCATACCTGGGGAGGCTGGGAAATGAACTGAGACCTTCAGCACTGAATCTGTGTTTTAAAATCTTATTTAACAGAACTCTCCCAGTAATATGAGCATGAGCAACCAGCCTGGCACTCCCAGGGATGACAGTGAGATGGGTGGAAACTTCCTAAACCCTTTCCAGAGTGAGAGTGTAAGTATTTCATAACCTGGTTTGTTTGGTTGCAGAGGTGAACTTTTATCTCTGGCCTCTTGTTTAAACAAAGAAAATTCACAAGTTTTGTAGAGWACTTGTAGTGCAGCACTGTTTTCTTGCATGTTTTTAATAGTTTCTGAAAGTACAGTATTGATTTGAATAAAAAGTATTGTGCGAAAGAGAGCTGGAACTGGAAAAGGTGGGAGGTGTAGATTTATTTCAGATATTTTTTTTTGGCGCTAAATGGTCAGTGGTCAGTGAAAAAGCAGGGTTTACACTGAAGTGTGGATGAGAGCACCCACAGATTGCATATTGCCATTAGATCCATAAAATGCAAAGGTTCCCACTAAGGTTCATTCTGGGGCGAATTGTGGGGTTTTTTTAAATGGATAATGCTTTAAGGCAGCAAAGCATGTTGTAAAAAACATTACAGAGCATTTCTGTGGTATTGTCATGCTCGTGTCTCTGGGGCTGGGTTACAGATCCACACCTTGGTCCCTAAATAGGATTGTAGCCTTTTTACCTGTGCCAGTGCTGACCTACAGGTCAGTAAACAGCTTTGTTAGATCACAGCATAGTTGAGTTCCATGGAAGATTTCATGGGAATCAGATTTTGAGGGCTTTTGGGAGGTTTTCTTTTTTAGCTAGCGAAAAGGAAGAGTTTCTGCATGTTAGCTATTGGTGGGCTCACATTCAGGCCTTATCACCGAGTCCTTTCTCAGGCAGATTTTGCTGTTCAGTTCACCAGGAATTTCAGTTAGGCACAATTAACAMTGCAGGGCTTAATAGCAGGTTTAAAATCCTAAACCTTGACACCATGGTTTGATTTCTTTCCCTGAGTGACTCCCCAGATGCTTTGGCACAGACACAGGAAATTACTTGAGCAGGTGCTTTCTCTAAGTCTCTTAGCTGGAAGTCAGTCCTGTGTAGTTTACATGATGGGGGAGACCCATCTAAAATACATTTWCTATATCCTTGAACACTTGGAAATGGCCAGTGTGGAGCTCCAGCCTTGGTAGTATATGTATGACACATGTGTTCTGCAAAGGCAAATTTATTTTTCTTTTTTCTTCTGTCAGTTTTCAAAGTGCTGATAATTCTTGCATTTGAACATATTCCTCTACTCAGAGGACTTGAGGCCAAATTAAACGTTTCTGCAGTCAGGAGTTTTCAATTTATAAACAAATTAGGTGTATAGACACGATTTCTTYTAGGCATGGTGGTGTCCTGTTGATTTCAGTGAAGCCCTGCCAAGCTGTAGCTTGGATAGATCACAGCAGGGCTGCAGTTCAGTTTGTGTCACTACAGTAGTGTGATGTGATTGAATTTTTGTTTCATGTAAAGGAGAATGATCACTGGTCCTGATTCAGCTTGAAATGACCACTGGCCCCTGATTTAGCTTGCCTGCTACAATTGGTAACACAAAATAATACAGACCAAAAGCCTAATTCAATCACTGAATTCAATTCAGTCATGCATATCTTTGCTCCTTTCTTCCTGTAAAGTAATAAAAACTCCCCAAAATCTTTCTGGGGTTCACCTACTCATGATTGCAACCAGTCTGCCTGAGGCTAAGCACCTGCCCAGGTAAATTCCCCATGAGCCAGCCCTGGCCAGGAAAGGGGCAGAATGCCTCAGTGAGGTATTGGTTCATCCCAGCACCCAKGTAGCACCAAAACAGCCCTCAGGGKAGTTYCTTGGTCAGCAGGAGCTGTGTTTTTGCCTCAGAGCAGCACAGGACAAGTTGTGGGGACACAAACTGAGCTACAGCCCCAGCAGAGGCTGCAGCACAAACKGAGGAGGGAGCTCAAGGAATGCAATGACACGTGAACCCATTGCTGCAGTCCAGGTGTGGATGTGGCTGCCTGGGWGGGGGGAAATGTTTGTTAAAATGTGGATTCCTCTTTTGCAGTACTCCCCTAGCATGACAATGAGTGTGTGACCCGTTCACAAGTGTCGCCATGAAGACCACAGTGAGTTGGCCCTCTCCAGAGAGCTACTGCAGAAGAAAATTTTAAGTCCCAGTGTACAGTTTAACTAAAGGATCTCAGACACAATCAGACCCACCTGGTTTTTTTTCCTACCATCTCCCCTGTTTTATCAAGAAAGTGGGTCCCAAACATGCTTGAGACAACTGTAAAGAGTGGCATGAGCCAGGTGCCCGAGGTGGAGCTGCAAGCGCCTGTCTGTGTGTGTACATGTGTGGGTCGGCGTGGGGTGTGTGTGTGTGACACACAAACACACACACACACACACACAGACCCCAGGACATTGTAAAATAGTATCACATGGCATCTTATGTAGAAATCAGAAGTAGGGACTTTTATTCCATTTCTTTTTTTTTTTTTTTTCACGTTTACATTTTAATTATTAAAATTTGCTTTCCCTCTCCCCTCCTGAACTGTTTTATGTTGCATATATCACTCCTTTATAAGTTATTGTTTAAGTTGAACTCAAAGAACGAATTCTTTTGATTTTGTTAGTGTCTGCTATTATGGATAGGAATAAAATTGCTTATACGAGCTTTCATTAACATGTGTTTGATACCAGCTACCCTGTGAATCACAAATTGTACTGTCTCAAGAAATAGAAGAAAGCTCATCTTAATTTTTTGGAGAAATTTAATAACTTCCACSTAGTTTGGGGATTTTTTTTGATACTTTGCCTTTAAGAGAAAAAAAAAAAAGCACTGAAGGTTATTTTTCTTCTTTAATTGAAGCCTGATATCTGCAATATCTATTTTAAATGGAAGCCTGAATTTGATACAAGCTTCTCAGTTTATATAGAGTACTATAAGGTTACTGTAAGCGAGCTCCAATTGCTATAGAATCTAGCAATAAAGTGTCAGGGCTTCTCCTGCCCTTGGAATTGAATTTTCTATTTAGCATGGTCTTCTGTAGGGGTGGTAGTTAGTGGAAATATGGTAGAGTCCTTATTACCAAAACATTTTCTAACAACTTAAAATTAATGCTTCCCATTTTCAGTGATTCTCAAACAAATATGAGCAATCTGTGTTCCTAATTATAAACAGTATTTCCCAATCCCACTTTGAAAATCAGGTCACCCTGCTACTTGGGTGTATGCATTTCTACCTTATCTGCCAGAATTACTTCCCCAAAACTTGCCAGTCAGCAGCCTTTTTTTGTTTTTTTGAGCCAAAATGCCGCAGTAAACTTTATATGACTACTAGCCTTGTGAGGGTGTTACCTTTTGCCATGAACAGRAGAGGAACAAAGGCCTGGGCCCTTTTATATGGAGGACAACTAGTTAGGGACAGAATGCAGGAAAGGGCCTAAAGGAAACACTTCTGGAAGCATTCCCATTTCTCTTCAGGCAGAGCTCTGAAACCAAGATTATGGTACATTCAGTTCCGACAGGTTTTCAGATCCCCCAAGAATGCAAAGGCTTTCAGTTTGTAGTGAGCAAAAGGCTGATGATCAGCAGTGCAGGCACAAAGTGACCACAGACAAASAATAAATTCCTCTCCTTGGACCTCAGTCTAGAAGAGCCATTTGCAGAGGAGGAACAGTTCTGGGATGTGCAAGGGCACATTTGTTGCGTGAACTTGTGATAAAGGAGCATATGTGATGGGCTTGTGATGGTAGCTGAACTTAATGGGATGTGTAAAGAATATTACAATCTCTGAGCTCATTTTTACTTCCTTATATTATWTGTGTATAATATATGGAAATAAAAATATTTAACACTTTACTCTCCTATTGAGGCTATTCAGAGATGTCCTGTTGAGGCTATTCAAAGATGACACTTGCAGATGATTAAAATTATGTTGAAGTATCAAAATATTTTGGTAGCATTACATTTTAGTAAGAGCTGCTTTATTAGTTGTAAACACAACCTGGATAGTCACTCTATGATGTTGTAGGGTATATTGGCATTAATTATAAGGGTCACATTCAGTTGCTTCTCTTTGGAAAACAGATTGTTGTTGTCTCCAAAGGTGGTAGAAGAGCCTGCTCTTGGCTGAGTCACAAACACACATTCAGGTGTAATTTCCTCAGACCCTTTGCTGTTGTCACTAMCACCACTGGTGTGTCCCCAGTACACCCAGAGCCTGTGGTTGCCACCTGTGTTATCTGTGGTGGCTTTCCAGGGACCTGAGGACTCTTTCCTGCCCKGTTTCAGTCACAAGATGTCACTGGTTGTGGACTGAGGTAGATGGGGACAGTGATGGCATCAGGTGCCAAAGCCCATTCCCCAGGTGAGTGAGCTGTCAGGTGCCTTGGAAGGGTGGCAGTCTGAGCATCAAACCTGTGCCTGGCACTGCTGTCACAGACTGGGTGTCACTATCAAATTATGTTATCCTCATTTTCATACAGGACCCTAACATCCTTTCAGGCACATGATTCAGTCCCTGTGTCCTGCATTTCTCATGCCCACATAGCCCTGCAGGCAGCAGCTGATGTCACTAATGCTTTGTCCAAGGCTGTGCCCAGCCTCAGCCTGGCTTTTGGAGAGGCCAGGTTCTGCAGCTCAACTATTCGAAAACAATCTTATGTACTAATCACTCRACTTCAAAATTACACTTTTGGATTGAATTTTTGTTAATATGCACCGGGCTTTTTGCTTGTTCCCTTTGTTTTGCTTACAAATCCTTGTAGGATTTTCATGATATCTGGAGTATCAATATGGGAAGAARCAATATTCCCAAGCACTCAGTTTTTGCTCCCACTTACATTTCTTATGCTCCAGATACCAGGAATCAATGTAACTGCTATTTGTTTCTGTCCTTATGCAACAGCATTGTTGATAATGTCAGAACTTGTCCAGCTCTGGAAGGAATTTTATTTTAATTGGTGCAGGATACTTCTTCTCACACTGGGTTTTTAGATCTTGCTCTTTCATATAGAAATAAAATTATGGTGATTCTGAAATTGGGTCTTTCAGGCAAGGCTGAAGTAAGCCTTTTCAAAAAGAGAAGTGATTAAATCTTAGAGTAGCAGAATTGGGGAGTAAGGGATCTGTTACACTGAGAACTCTTGAAATATTCYGGGTTTGTAGAAATCAGCTGAAACTGGATTCACCTGTGAGCTTCACAGTGAAAACAGTCTTACCTGCTGCTTAAACCTTTGCAAAGGAGCACTCAGATCCAGATTTATCTCCCTGTCACCCAGATCTTATTGCCATATCCAAGTCTTGTGTAGGCAAGAAGAGGGTTTGGGACAAGGAGAAGCTGTCTGAATCACAGACATAAGTGGCCTGGCGTGCATTAACAAAATATCTGGATATTTGCATATAGGGATTGAGTTGTTTTCTTAATTGCCTGAGAATGAGGAAAACTGCAATTGCCTTTGCCAAAAAAAGTTCTGGTTTTATTGGGAAGGCCTCTGGTTTCAGAGCCCTCCCTGACCACACAACAGTTCATGTGTTCAGAGCAAGTAACAACTTCCAGGCTTTCAGCCTGTTCCTCCCCATAATGTATGATTAAATATTCCATGTCCCAGGACACCCACCATTCCTTTCCCTTTTAAGGGAATATTTTATGAGGCTAATTGTTTATTTTAAATAATTCCAATTGGGAAAAGTGGATAGAAGCTTGCTTCTTTAAGGATGCATCAAAGGACAGCTTCTTGAACTGCCTAAAACCATTTRAATTTCCCTCTGTTCTGTGGCTAGCAAACGCCATCCTGCCTGTAGAGATGATTTGGAATAAGATTTGATGAGGGACCAGCTGTTGTATTATTCAGTGTTGATCATTTTATTCAATATGACTTTTCATTTGATACATACTGCACAGATTTCTGTTTCTGGATCAGTTAATTTTTAAGTGTTTTCCCTTGTTCCTGGTCAGTTCTGATCCCTTGTTGTTGTTAYGATGGCTAAGTATGGACTGGATTTTTCAATATTTGACCCTACACGTTTGCATTTCAAGAATGTAAACTGTACCATAATGATTTTAAAAGTGCAAGTAAAAGTATTTTTCTTTAGTTCACTCTAAGTGCTGGTATAACTGTGACTATTGCCCCAGACACACTTGGGTTTGCTTGGGCCTTATCGATGGGAATCCTGACAGAAGACCTTTCAAATAAACCTCTAAAAACTATTTCAACACTGTCTCACATTGAGGATCCAGTTCATGATTTAGTGATCCAAAACAACTGTAAAAATTCAGACATAAATAAGTTAGATTTAAATTTTACTGTATACAGCTCTCTTTACTTTTTAGATATTATTGGCACAGTCCTATAAGCTGCTGATTATGCTTGTGCTGAAACTTTGATGAAACCACTCACATAACATCATTTTTGGGTAGGATTTCACCCTAGTTTGGGTCAAATATATAACTTACCTGTGGTGTGACATCATTATTTGTTAGATGTAAAAACTGTAAAAACTAGCAAAATACAGAGGGTCTGTTGAAATTACTGAAATGATGTTTCAACCTGAAAAACAAGGTGTTTAAAATACTGCTTTGAGTGCATTCCTGTATTGTGTCTACATATTGGAAACAAATTATAGTACCAAATCTAGAAAAAATGAATGAATCATCTACTCAGCACATTAAAACTATGAAGTGGCCAACACCTTCACCTTGGTTTGGAACTGAGCCTGCACATAGTTAATTTTAAACAGATCTAAGAACACAGGTAGCATCCTTCAGGAAATTATAACAGTAGGACTAATAATCTAAACCCATGCTTGAAAGTGGACAGTCTAGAGCTCAAATTCTTTGCTAATCTTTACAGATTTGGCCAGTGCAGGAGCATGTTTATGTATCAGTAAACTGACATGCAGAACAGATTTGGCTTTCTTCTGTTTCTTACTTTATTAGAGCTTTGTTCACTATTGAATGAACTATTTTTGTGAATTTGTTCTTCCATCTTGTTTTCAATTGTGCAGCCATAGTTTTCTTCAACACAGCCAACAGCTTTGCAGTTTTAGTCCAAACTTCTGTTTGGTCACTGTTCTTCATTTAAGCTTAAAATGTGTAAGAAAGCCTCTCATGTAATGGGAAAACTTGCCATAAAAATGTATTAAGGTTTTCTTGGGTACATGTTTTCAAATTTAATAAATGCAGTTTTCAGTTATAATTTGAAATGGTTACTTTCTAGCCACTATTTCAGTTTYGTGTGCAAAARAA